TCTCTCTCTCTCTCTCTCTCTCTCTCTCTCTCTCTCTCTCTCTCTCTCTCTACCTGTGTGTTTGTGAGTGTGTGTTACTATCTATCTATAATATGTCTCTGACCCTTTCTCTTTCTTTTCAACTTAATGTCACATACAAATTGAAAAACATCAATAAAATTGAATACTATTTAAGTTAGTAAGTCTGTGACGATAGTGTCATTAACAAGAAAAACAGGGAGACAAAATGACTCTCTAAGCGAATGTGCAGGACAAGAACCAGGGGTTTTAGCTTTCGGCTTCATCAAAAGCAATGTTATGTTTTTTTGTTTTTTTTAATGACAAAATGACGAGAACAGCAAAGAAATTTACACCCAAAAAAAAACTGAACAAAAAACAAACAATTAATTAATCAGCTGACAAAAAAAATCCAAAAGAAAACAAGGAGAACGCTTCAAACTAAACAGGGGGCTCTCGTGATCTAGAGGTCATGGTGTTCGCCCCTCATTCAAGACGTCTCGGGTTCGAAACCTCACAGTGACGGAACATTTTCTTGTCTTCAAAAAATTCTCCTTGCACCCCCCCCCCCTTTCCCCTTTGCCCTCTCCTCTGGGCTCCTGACTCTATCTACAGCCTTTCTACTGCTCCTTCTCACTGTTGTTTTTCAGCAGCACCCCCAGATCTTATGGTAGGTAAGTTCTAACACCTAGCCTTCTCGGAGAGGGGCGAAATCTCTTGGAGGTCCCGTGTGCAAGTTGCGCAAGTTAAAGATCCTTCGTGGTCGTAAAATAGATAAGAGTAGGCTTCGGCCACCACCCGGGTTAAATTCCACTTTCCTTCAAACCTGAAAAATGTGCCCCGCGCGCTCATATGATCTTATGCAGTTGTAAGTGTCGTAAAACACTTGCCCAAAAAATAAAAACCCAAACAAAAGCTCTTTGAAAGTCTTCACCATAAAATCAAACAAACACACAAATGATTGTTTGACATCAAAACCCCAAAACAAAACAATAAAAACAATCACACGTCTTTATGCAACACTCAAATATTCTATTTTATTCAGATACCACACAATTTGGCGGCTAGACAGCCTAATCGACAAAATGAGATTTATAAAGAAAAATGCCAAGATTTAGAGAATAACATTTCCATGTCTTACCATGTCATACTCCATGAGTAAACATTTTCTCGCTCGGGAAATGGACTCTCATGTCGATTGGTTTTGGTGTTTTGGTGTTTTTTTTCGGGGAGGGGGGGTTGGATAACGATTCTGTTTTCGACTTTAAGATGGGTACCGCGTAATATAATGTGTGGTGTACATTAGAATTCTCCCGTTCTTCAAGTATCGATACTGTTTTTGTTTATTTGTTGTTGTCGTTGTTGTTGTTGTTGTTGTTGTTGTTGTTTTTCTTTTTTATTCTGATGGTATCACAAATCATCGACATTTTAAAAAAATCACTCGAGACAGTATTAGTAACTGTTTCCCTGTGCCAATAAGTTATAATATAGTTCTCTGTCTATGTGAACAGAATTCCGTGCAGTCCACTTCAACCAAAATGTGGGGGACCGCGTTGTTACATTTTCTTTGATTCAGCAGGGATTTCAGTTTAGAAAGGTTGCTAAAATAGAAGAAAAATATCAAGGATTTAAAGATTTTTTTTCTCGGTTTTTAGCTGTTTTCGGACTTACCGAATTCGGTTGATTCTACTGTAGTAACACGTCCTTTTGCGAGGTCTGTCCCAAAAGAATGTTTCTCTTTCTTTAACTCGCTTACTTTTAAAGCTAATACTATGAAAATGACAGAAGCTTACATCACGTTTTTTCAAGAGGGTGTCTCACGCCATGGCGACCGAAAAGATGAAAGGCTCATTCTCATAATAAGATGGTCTTATTGTCAGTTCTCATAATAAGATGTTCTTATTGTCAGTTCTCAAAATATGGTATTTTTTATTGTCAGTTTTCAAAATGTGATGTTCTTATAGTCATTTCTCATGATATAATGTTCTTATACTAATTTTCAAAATATGACGTTCTTGTAGTCATTTATCAAAATATGTTGTTCTTACAGTCATTAACAAAAGTTGATGTTTTTATAGTCAGTTCTCAAAAAGTGATGTTCTTACAGTGATTTCTCAAAATATGATGTTCTTATTGTCAGTTCTCAAAATATTATTATGTTGTTCTTACTTCTAGTCCGCAAAATATAATCTTTTATTGTTTTCAAATGCAAAATTTTCAAGAGAAATTACTCAAAGAAAAGCATGGCCAACTTTTAAGGCTCAGTATTTAACTTGCAAGAAAATGGGAGAGAGAGAGAGAGAGAGAGAGAGAGAGAGAGAGAGAGAGAGAGAGAGAGATGAATGACATAATTTTCAATCTTGAAAGTTTAAAGCACTCTGTGTACCAGTTCTGTTTCTGAGCAAAGAATTTTGCTTGTTCAAGTTCCAATCGAAGAAGCAAGCGAAAACTGTAAGAGATATAGCAGAAGAAGTTGTGTTGCCAAAGAGGACAGTTCACATAGTGTTTATGGAATATCTTAGTAAAGCAAAGCATTTTACATAATGTGTTCCCTCTGGGACATACGTCGCAGGATTATTCGATACCATCAGTATAGATACCACCAATATAATCTGACACACAATCCCATACCGCTCCCCCACTTCTCGGACACATTTTTCCACTTTAAATTCACATTTAAAGTCTCAACCACACAGTTTTTATTGATACGTCTCACGCTCTTTATCATTAGCAAGCTAGTCAATTGTTTTAAATCCATAACGCGAGATTAAGAACTCAAATTTCGACCAAATTATATCTTAACAAGAATATTATGTCATTCGCCATCTATTCAAAAGTAACAGAACCCAAGTTCTGAATATTTTTTTGTTTTGCCAAGAAATATTTTGTGGAAATTCTTATTCCAAATGTTGAAAAAAACCCAACAACGTGTAATAAACATTACATAGATCTTGGTAAGTTGTTACAAGAATGACACTGTTTTTCTCTCTCCTGAAAAATATTTGCTTTTTGAGTGTAGCAAAATTAAACAGCGGGCCAAAAATAATAATGCATGCGATACCACAGATAAAGAAACCGCAATAAAATATATGTATATATTTTTTTCCCTCCAAAATCTTGAGCATTCTGTTTGTTTGCCACAGAACCTGAAGTTATAACACACCGGCATGGGGAGAAAGGCCATAACTTTGGCGGCCAGATTTCCCTGTGGAGTTGACAAAGTTGTCTGCTCTTGCTTTCTATTTAAAAAGACCGAAAAGAAACCTATTCTAGCACAGCTTCCAACATGGCTTCCACTTATTCCGTTTTTAAAGCTCCAAACCCTCGAAACGTGGCCTTTCATCATAACAACATATTTTGTCCCAAAAAAAGCGTATTTTGTCATGGCTGCTTGTTGCTTGACAGAACATCCGGTCCCGATAGGCTGGGATTAGACGATAAAAAAGTCCAACAATTCTAGCTTGTTGATTTTCTTTTTCAGTAACGAGAACGTGCCATGTCATTATAACTTCACCGCTATTGTTCTTTTTTTACACCCCTATTAACACAATTTGGATATTTGAAAAGACGGGTTGTTTCGACCCTCTCTGTTTTGAGAAGTGCTTGCCAACATGGGCGATATTGCCCACCGGAGGACCATTTGGTTATTTTGAAAGGCAGTGGAGATCACCCGGGTAGTGGCAGATGTAATTTATGCAATGCCCTTCTTGGAAATACATGTAGATGGGAGGTACAAACATTTTAGTCTCTGAAAAGTGGAAAAAGTGGGCGCTGGCAATTAAAACTTTGACAAGAACTGGTTTAGAGACAACTTGCTTTAGTCTTATTCTAAATTTATCCCAATAAAGCGACGGTTTCATACACACAAAACCAACATATTTCACAATTAATTTATTACTTTGAGCAATGATGAAGTCAGCTCTGGTTTGAATCCAGAATGTGCTGTTCTTGAACTTGATTTCTTGGGGATTTTTTAAGGCTTTTAAAAATGCATGGCTTTAAAGTTTATTGGAAATGGACGTTGAGTTAGAAGATGCCACGCCCTAAATGAATTCACAACTTTGTGAAGGCGTTAAACCCACACAGCAACTGTTACTTGCTTGGAGGAATTTAAGCCCTGTATCATATTATGTCTCTTACATTTTTCTGCATTAGCTTTACCTCTTTCAACACGATAGGTTTACCCCTCCCCCTGCACTTGTGTCCTCCTTTCTTTTCAATTGAAAGCGTTTTACGCCCCCAACAAATCAATTTAGACTATTCACTTGCTTGGGCTTCAACAGTACTTGTCAGGGACAAAACTACATAAAAATAAAACAAGCAAAAAATAAATTATACAACTCTCCTCCCCCCAACCACGAATTTAGCAACTAGGAATAAATTAATCATTGTCTATTGTGCGTTGAGTAAGCATTTCACTGTTGCTGTACAAACTCGGATTAGTCAGGCGTGTAACTCACAATAAATCTTACTCTGACCAAGAGGAAAAGAGGATGAGGGAATGAAAAGCTGATTTGTGTGTGTGTGTGGGGGGGGGGGGGGGGATTAAAGTCATTAACAGAGAGAGGGGGGGGGGGGGCGGCGGTGACACCTGAAAGTTCTGATGTTCATCAAAATTATGGATTTTGAATTGTAGTCATTTTTAGCTTTTTCAGCTTTTTCAACTATTCATTGCATAAGGACCCCTTAAAGCCTTATTTAGTCTTACTGCAGGCAGGCAAGTTAGTCACTAACATATCCTCATAAAGTTTGTCTTTTTTTTTCGTTATCATCCGTTATCTCTAATCGCTGTTTTTCTAAATACTTCTTTGCATAACTCCGCCATTTTTCACCCAATCTACATGAGTTTTTTTTAAAGAAAGAAAGGAATATTATTAATGTAACGCTATAAATAAAAACCCTGCTGAATTTTCAATATACAGAATAGATTCTTGTTGAAGGTGTTTGGAGTGTGGACTTCCACTGAAATTTAGCAAACTTGAATCTAAAAAAAATAAGAGAATAACTATCCATACAAAAATTCTAATGCGTTTAAGAACATTCAACATACTGTTTTGTAAAACTTTTTTTTCCTAATATAACGACATATAACCATTTAAAAATAAATGAGGTCTGCATAAAACACGTCAAAAAAATCCAATATCGCCGCTGTCTCCATGGCAACGAAACAGTTTTCCAAAATTTGACTGCAGATTTATTGACGCCTTACTATGCATGTTAGATAATGTGGGAATTTTGTTAAAGTTTTATCTGCAATTAAACGAGATAGCCCTCAGCTGTAGCCAACAGCATCCCTTTAAAGAAAGTAAACAAATCAATAAAACATAACCGTTACACTTACGAAAGGTTAAATTCTAAGCAAGAAAAAAAATATTGTTAAAAAAATATCGGTATAAATAATGAATAGGAATGGGGCGTTAATGTAATTAAATAACAGACCAACTTACAAACAAACAGACAAACAAAAAGAGCGCAAACACAAAGAAACCACAACAACGACAGCAACTACACCAACTCGACTCCAACCCGTAAGAGATAGATGTTCGTAGACAAGGGTATAAATAATTAAGCAAAACAGACAAACAGACATTATACAAACAGTCAGACACTCACGTAAGAGATAGATGTTGGTGGACAAGCAGACAGACAAACAGACATCATACAAACAGTCAGACACTCACCTAAGAGAAAGATGTTGGTGGACAAGCAGACAAACAAACGTCATACAAACAGTCAGACACTCACCTAAGAGATAGATGTTGGTGGAGGTAGCCATGTCTTTATGACTGAGCACTATGAGGGACAGGGAATTCCCGGTGATCCCCGTGACACACAGCAGAGGGTAGATGATGAGACCCGTCACAAACTGGGCAGTCTCGTAGAACTCCTTGTACTCGTCCGTACCGTTGCTATCGCAACTACCGCCGTTGCCACCCACGTGTCCCGGAAGTTGCGACACGTTGAGAGAGGAGATGATGCCCGTGGAAGGCTGCTGGTCGGGTGGGGCGAAAGTTATCCCTCCAAATTCGGGGTTTAAGTTGATCTCCATGGCAACGTTTTGTTAGGTATATCCCTGGTGATGATATTATGATCTAAACACGAGTAATAGGACGACTATGGTGGCGTGCAGAAATACCAGCTTGATCTAAACATGATTTAAGATAATATATCTGTGCAATACGTCCAATGAAGTAGGAAAAAGTCGCAACACAGCATTCGACTTTTGAAAGTCAAGCGATTTCAAGGAGTTGTTTACCCTCCTTCGGTGAATATGGCGTCGTCTAATGACGTCAGCAAAGATAGGGAAATAACACTTCTGTTGGTGTAGTCTGAGACAGGCTGATTGTTAAACACCGAGTCACAGTCGCTACGCAAAGGATAAACAACGTAAGTAAAAATTTACTTTTTAAAACTTTTAATATTTCTGAAAGTCAAGCACATTAGACGAGCTATCAAACTATCGTTAACAGGGAGTAGAGTCCTGAGAATAATAATTCCTTATAAATAGATTTTAATATTATTTCATATCTTTCTCTCTCGCTCTCTCGTCTTAGAACCAAGAACGACTCTCCTCCTAGTTTCTCTATAACAATGAGAATTATTCGCTTTCCCATGTAAAAGTTGCAGCTATAGGTGCAATACAGGTGAGTACATTCTTAAACGCTTTGCTAATTAATGTGGTGAGTCACTGTCTTATTCTCCACATACTGACGTTGTCGCATCATACAGCTAGGTATTTTGAACCTGCTAGTTGTTGAGTTTTTTTTGGGCCCATATATAAAAAATAAAAATCGTAACAATCCCAAATTTACAATCCGTTGGTATAATGATTTGGTCTCAGCTTTGTATGATCTAAAGGAAATCCATGATTGTACCGAAGTAGGATGTCTATTTTAGAAACACTTGCGACTGGCCAGATGAAGGCGCGACTGTAAAATGCTGTACTCGTTGACGTCTCTGAAATGATAAAGAAAGGTCTATACAGAAACATTGGTAGGAGAGACTAGGAACAAAGAGGACGTTAGGCGTTATATTCTACAGCATGCCACGTGGGACTAAGTATCAATTTTATTGATCGAAAAAAAACCCCAACAACAACCCAAAGTGTTTGAAAGGAAAAATGACTTTCCAGTGGTATCCTCCAATCATCCACGAGGGTACTGGAACAAAGACAGAAATGTATAAGAATAAACACAAACATCTGGATCAGTTAAATTTGGTAAGTTAATAAATATAACGAGTAGGGAGGAGAACATACTTTCAGTATCATACACCATAACGCATGGCAATGAGGTGGATCCCATACATACGCTAAGACTGCCAAATGAAATCTTGTACACAAACTAAATACTGTGAGGTGAATTCTCGCAGGTAAAGAAAGACTTGTGAGGTGAGGTCCCATACATAAAGTTAGACACAGGAGGGTTACATTGACAAGTTACCCGGCATTCAAGAGTTTACTTATCGTGTCCTTAGAATGAAATGGTTTTTAACTCCGCTTTTTGCAACAGCCAATTCAAAGCAACACAGGACAGTCACAAAATTGATGCCCAGCACGCTGTGTTAAAGGCTTGAGACAATCTAACCTGTATTTTTTAAAAATTGACACTCAACAAATAAGAACTAAAACCAGTACGTTGTTAGAATGTAAATGCGAGGCAGCGTGGTGGAATCAGGCTCTCGTCAAAATAATCAAAGTGAAGAAACTGGCATTTTTCCGCAGGTTTGTGAATTTTTATAAATCTTTTTTTTTTTTGCTCAACACCTTTCATGTCCATTAAAGAACTCATTTCTGTGTGGATTTTTCTGAAAAACGTTGATTAAAGGCACAAAAATTGTAAATTTTCATTTACCACGGACTCTTAAGCTAAGGAAATAACTAATCTTTGGCGGCCATTTTCTCACTAATTTTACCACTAAAATCAGGTGACCCCCACCTCCTTCATTCACACATATCTCGTTTTAGTTTAGTTTTAGTTTTAGTCGACGTTTTACAGCGCTCGCAACTGCATAAGGTCATATGAGCGCCAGAAGATTAGAGATGTTACAACAGAGTAACAAACATTAAAAAGAAGAAGGGGAGATAAGGATGATAGATGCTCGATAGGAATGAAGGAGTAAATCACTACAGAGCACCCGCCAACGACCCAAAATAAAGACAAATGAACAAGCTTTAAGATGATACCAATAACTCTACACGCCCAAAAATTTGACGAGAGCCTGATTCCACCACGCTGCCTCACAAATCTTTGAATCCTATTTTTCTCAAAACCATGCGCCATGCAGTAAGAATATTGTCCTTCTAATGGCGCGTTATGTTAAAAGCTACACAACCCTCAACAACTAAATCTACTAACAACTAAATTTCACATGGGGATTAATTTTGCCTCAATCTACAGGCATACAAAGTTTAGGCCAGTGCTTGCTAATCTCGGCGGTATCACCCGCTGGTTAGCAATATAATTTGGTAATTTTGATGGGCAGTGGGGATCAACCTGATAGATAATGTCATGTATTATTCAATGCACCACTGAGAGATACATGAAGGGCGGCAATACGAAAAGTTTTGGCTTCTTAGATGTGGAAAAAGTTGGCGCTAGTAATTGGGTGGGATAGAGAGTATATAAATGCAGGCTATTATTATTATTATTATTATTATCATCATCATTAATAGTAATAATAATAATTATTATTATTACTATTATTGTTTTTATCATTATTACTATTTATATGATGATGATGATGATGATGATGATGATGATGATGATGATGATGATGATGATGATGATGATGATAAATGTAGGAGATATAATGGGTTACGTTTGCCATCTCCTGTTCGGTACAGAATTTAAAACGAACTGTGGAAAATAAGGAAGACAGAAGATTAAAACCAGGAAGAAACACTCAGCGGGCAACCCAAAAATATCGCCTTTGTAGTGAGCACAGTAGGCAATAGCCGAGTCTCGTGTTCCCGTGATCAGTAATCGATGAGGACAGGTTGGCAAGTTACAGGGATCCCAGGTAATCAGGGCTGAGTATCGTTAAGTCTACTCAAGCAGTTCTCAGACACTCGTCCCGTAAGGTAGTAATCACCACGCGCCGCAGGATCGATACCCTAGTCTTACTCTGGCCCACTCAAAGCTTTCTAAATAAGGACAGACTCAGAGCAGTAGATCAAAGCGAAAACGTTATATCTGCAATGATTAAGTAGAGCACATGAAATGTTTGGGCTCTTGGCTCGTGAATAATGGTTTTTCTGTCCATAGCTTTGTCGTCGGTGGTCATACTTTTTCTGTTGGTTTTTTTGTATCTTTTGAGAAGTGGTGGGGG